CGGGTGTCCGGCCGCGACCGTCGAAGGGGCGAGCAGGGCCGTGCGCCGCGGGGCGCGGACCCCGCCGGGAAGGCGCCGCGGCCGACACCCCGGCGGCGTCTGGCCCCTGGAGGAGCGTCTGGGACTCTGCGCGCCCGGAGGCCGCCGGCGGGACGGCACCTCCGGGCGCCGGGGCTAGCTCCCGGAGGCCGCGCTGCCCGGGGGGAACGGTGGCATCGCCCGGGGCGGTGGGCCTCCGCAGCTCCGCGCTCTAAGGAGAGGACCCCAGCCCTTGGCTGCGTCCCAGGCGGGCGTTGACGGCGGCGAGACTGCAGGTGCTCCGGGGTCTCTGCTCGGGGACCCCGACCTCGGCCGCTGCCCGGCCTGCAGACAGAACCGCCCTGCGCCGAGCGGAGGCTGCGCGCGTTCCACCCTCGGACGGGGGCTGCTCCTGTGTCCTCGGGCCCTGAAGGACACAGCTGCGCGCAGCCGGGCTCCGAGGTTTTACACGTGTTTTTTATTGAAAGCCGTGGTGCGCTGCTCAGTGTGGCCTCGGCCCGTTGCGGCTTCCCTCGCCTCTGGGGCAAAGGGGCATATTCTTGATTGACGCCCTCCTGCGGTGACCACACCTTGAGTTGGGCAGTTTCTGCTAAGGTCTTCTATTAGAAGAACAAGAAAAAAAAAAAAAAAGCCTGAATTTTCGCTTCTATTGAGATACAAAGTTTTAAGCGTTGAAATTACATCTTCAGCTGCAACGGGACTGCGAAGGAGAGAAGTGGGCTCATGAGTCTCACTGCACACATTTTTCTTGAGCTACTACTGTGTGCCACTAGCAAACAAGAGAGAGGTATAGTCCCTGCCCTTATGGAAGCAGGAAACAAATTGAACACAGTAACATACGGAGGAGAAATCGTGTGTTGTCGTTCAGAACCTCAGGGGACGGCCCCGAATTTGGGAAAGTGTTCCCAAGGGAAATGATGTTTGAAAGATAAGCAGGTGTCAACAAGCCTGGGTGTCAGTGAGTCCGAATCAGAACAGCGCTTTGTGTGGGTTACCTAACGCAGCCCCAGTCCGTTTTATTATTGCCACGGACGTTTTTCCTCTGACACGTCTCTAACCGCTTGGGGATGGAGTCACCAACGTCTTTCAGAATAATGTCAGACAAAGGCTGCTAGCACAGACAAACCCCGAGTGTATAGCACTGTTATTTGGGCTAAACCCTTGGGGGGCGAGTAAGAGCGCATATTCGTGTGTTTCACCCTGGTATGTGAACGATGGAAGGAAACAAGATTAACCAGGCTCCCCATGAAGAGAGGGACAAGGCTGGGAGGGGAATACCTGAAGACCCAAACCCCGTGACACTTCCAGTGAGCGCAGAGACATCTTGGCCAGACACCCTGGGAAGACTATAGACCTTTGAAGGGGCTTCCGTTGGGCAAACTCAGGGTGATTTAAGCTTCAAATATACATCTGCATCAGGACGCTAGCCTGGCGACCTGAGCTTTGATCCACAGAACCCATGGTGGAAGGAAGAAGCGATTCTAGTTTCCCTCCGCCCTCCGTGTGCTTGCCACGACCGCACATTATACACAACAATGATGAAGATTAGAAAATACATAATTGTGATAATTCCTAAGTCCATTGAACTCAAGTGACATAGGGGAGGGGGTGGACGGGGAAAGTGGAGGAATGCCAGGACAAATAGAGAACATTTGAGGCCAGTGAGATGGCTCAGCCTCCGGGAGATTGTCTCCCTGTACTGCACACCTGAGAGCTGAGTTCAAGCCCCCAACCTCACATTAAAAAAAAAAAAAAGGGTGGAAAGAGAGAGAGACTTGCCACAGCTCAAGTGCCCCCAGCACACATCATACACAATAATAACGAGGTCCTGCTTAACGTAGGAAGTTTTGCTGATTCAGGAAAGACTCGTTAGGCAAAACTGCCGAGTGAAATATTGAAGATGAGGACTCTGGTAAGTTCTTACAGAATTAACCCCATTCTTCAGATTTGGGGTAAAAAAAATAGAAGCAAGCGTAGATTGTCGTAGATGGCAGTATTTCACTGGTGCTGTGTAAGGTGGGATTTTTGGTCTTGTGAGTTAAACATTGGAAAGCCCACTACTAAGATGCAACCTGACGTGTTCAAGGATGTGGGTACGATGCCTGCAACCTCCAAGTCGTTCACTCTGCATGTGTGTAGTTACTCATGTGCACAGCTGTAATTACATATAGACACACGGAATAAACAGAACAACGCTGGTGAGTTTAGGTGAAGAACATACAGGGTTCTATGGTATTGTCGTCTTAGCTTCACGGTAGCTTTGACGTTTTCAGTATAAAAACTGGAAAAGAAGCCGGGCGGTGGTGGCACGAGCCTTTATGCTCAGCTCTGGAGAGGCAGAAGCAGGCAGATCCGTGAGTTCGAGGCCAGCCTGGTCTACGGAGAGAGTTCCAGGACCATCAGGGCTACACAGAGAAACCATTGGGGAGGGGGATAAAACAAACTAGAAAATAATAAGTGTAGTTTTGCATATTAAAAACTCAGCACTGGGTCAGAGATGGCTCGGCAGGTGAAGGCACTTTGCCTCCAGGCCTGATGACCTGAGTTTGATCGTCGGGACACAGTGAAGAGAGAGGACTGACTGACAAGGTGTCTGTCTCTGACCACAAAAGCTGTGGCCCCCAGGCACCCCCACACATCCCTACACAAACGTAAGAGTGGCTGGAGAAACAGTTTAGTAGTTAAGAGTTGCTTGCAGAGGTCCCAGGTTCGAGCCCAGATGCTCTCTTCTGACCTCCGAGGGCACCTTCGTGCCCATGATGCCCATAAATTGAAGCAGGCATACACACACACACACACACACACACACACACACACACACACATACAAATAAGTGATTTTTTAAAAACACGGGGCTGGAGAGTCAGCTCATTTGGTTAAAAGTGCTTGCTGCTCTCCCAGAGGATCCCAGTATCCATATTTGGAAGCTTCCAACTGCCTGTAATTCTAATAATCCAACACCCTCTTCTGGCCCCTGTGGGCACACCCCTCATGCAGGATTCACTCACACGTACTGTTTTGTTAGTTGGGTATTACTAAGGGGTTGAAGCCAAAGCCCCCACACACAGGCAAATGCTCTACCACTGAGCTACACTTTCTGCCTCCTTTAGTTTGTGTTTTGAGACAGGGTCTCCTGTAGCTCAGGCTATCCTCCAACCTGATATGTAGCCCAGGATGATCTTGAACTTTCATCTTTCTGCCTACACCTCCCAATGTGCTGGGATTTCGGGCTACTCCCAGTTTATACAGCACTAAAAACCAAACCCAGGGTTTCATGCACATTAGACACACACACACACACACACACACACACACACACACACACACACACA